CCGCCCGGGGGCGGGCAGATCGTGGGAGCTCCCCTCCAGGCAGGCAATATCCACACTGGTCCCTCTCCACCCGCTGTGATAGAGCTCCCCCCCGGCTCTGCAAAGAGCCCGCACCGGGGCTGCTCCGGCTGACACCCCTCCAGCCGTCAGCTCACGCAGCCGTTGGGGGTCCAGGGACAGTGGCAAAGCACAGATCCTGTGTGGCCACCAGGGTTAGCACTGTCACCCCAGAGAAGAACAGTGGCTTGTGCTAGCCAGGCCATTACAGTTTCTTCATGAAACTGGTACTAACTCGAGTCTCGCTACCCCAGTGTGGAAACCCACTGCATTTACAGAGCCCAGTTAGGAACCTGCTTACAATAGAAAAAAACAAATTGTTTTAGAAAGAGGAGGAAAGTGTGCCTAAACCTGGAGCTGACAGTCAATATCTTATCGAGATCCTTTTGTTTACAACTCCCTCTAGAGCAATCTGGTGCTGTCGATTTGACTCAAAAGAAATTACCGAGAAGTTTATTTAACAGACTCGATTCAATCTCCAGTTCCCTCCTTCCAGATCAGCAGACGGCCCCAAGCCAGAGGAACAGACCATGATTCCAAGAGCCATCTGCACTCATCCGATTGCTGTTTTACTGCCTGGGTCTGACATTGCTAATTATATCTGCCCGTTGTTTCCTCTGACAGCAGAGATGGTTCTTTCAGGTCAGATGATCAGTCTTGGCAACAACAGCCAGAAAAGATGAAAAACAACCCAGAAGGACAAGGGATTTTCAGGCTTGCCCGAGGCCAAGAAGCTAAACTCAGGCAAGCCTGCAGCCAGGCTACCCGTTGGTCTCAAGCACCGGAAGACAATCAACAGCACAAAAATAAGCAATATTGTGAGCCACAGTGTCTGAACCAAATAACTTACAAGTGGCTCGGTCAGCATTGTGGTTCAGCATAGTGCAAGTAATCCACACCAGGTAGGGTGAGGAAGACAAGAGAAGCAAATCTTGGGGGTCAGAGAGACAGGACAGCTTTCTGCCCTCTTAAAATATACCAGGGATTTGTCAAAAGGCCCCCGGGCTTCCCAGTGCTGCAATGGCCCTTTGATGATGGGGACCTCATGTTAATGTGTCTCAAGTATGTGCTCAGCCTTCGCCTGCCCCAAAGCCTGCACAGAGCAGGGTATTTCCCTGACCTGAGCTGCCTGCTGGGTCACACGCACCCAGATTTGCTGCAGGCACCGTGTGACTGCGCTGGGCACCCAAGCTGTACTGGTGCTCAGACAAACCTCTTCTGGGGGGTGGGATGAACTTAACCGCCAGTGAAGAGGACAGGAAGCCCCCAATGCACCACTAGGTGTAAGACTGCAGCCCTTGTTATTTCTAAAGGGGGATTTCCAGCACATACCTGCTGCAGGAAAGGTTCTGGGGCTTGGAGACCATCCTCTGACCCATCTCAGCTCCAACAATATTCATCTCCTTTTTGAGTGGCGAAGGAGTGCAGCAAGGAACTGAGCAAGAAAAGCCTCGTAAAGCCAAATTCTCCCTTTCTCCTGCAGGCGCTGGCATCACACCAGACACGTTTAGCCCCGCAGGTTTAACCGCACTCAAAAGGAAGACACTTTTCCTATCTATCATGATCTCGCCAAGCGTAACGCAGCCTAAAGAGACAACACAGATAGCTGGTAAAAGACAGGCACCAGCAGAGCCTGGCGCCGCTCCAAGGGCTTTATGGCTCTGGGGGGCCTGACCCGTTGCAGATAAGTGTTATCGGCAGGGTCGTTTAGCCCCGCAGGTTTAACCGCACTCAAAAGGAAGACACTTTTCCTATCTATCATGATCTCGCCAAGCGTAACGCAGCCTAAAGAGACAACACAGATAGCTGGTAAAAGACAGGCACCAGCAGAGCCTGGCGCCGCTCCAAGGGCTTTATGGCTCTGGGGGGCCTGACCCGTTGCAGATAAGTGTTATCGGCAGGGTCCCCGCCATCCAAAGCAAAACACTCTCCCAGCCCTCAGCAGAGGTTTCTGGGAGCCAGCGAGCGGTTTATAGCCCCGAGCAAGCGCTGAGCAGCTGAAATCAGTGCAGAGCAATGAATCGAAAGGAAATGACCTGCAAATGGCAGGAGTGATTTCAAATGAGCACGTAAATTAGCTCCATTGTTCGGTCATTTGCTGGCAGATTGTATCTCTGATAACTTGGTTCCTTGTTTGTTTGCCTTAAAAAGTACAGCTGTAACATTGGAAGATTTAAACCCAGCTCAGGAGTTTCTGCTTTGCTGTCATCCTCCCCATTCGCTCCTTCTCAACTGCCCAACCCATTAACCTGCTGCAGTATCTCTCTGGACTGCCCACACTACACTTTCTGGGGGAGGTTTGAGCCCTGCCGAAGTCATTCCTTCCCTATGAGCTGGGGAGAATTTTATCCTCTGAATCTGCTGAATTTTGCTTTAATTTCACTGCAATAATTAACCCCAACCTCAGCACTTTCTGGGTGAGGAATCCAGCCTAAGGCACAGCTGGGACTAAACCCTCCACCACCATCACAGTCTCCAAGCGTTTCTCTCTTTCGGTAGCTTTGATAAATCAGGCTATCTGGGAATGGGTTTATCTTGGTTATCTGAGATGGCTGCGGAAGGGAAAGATCAGACAGCTCCTGCTCAATCGGCCAGCACTACAGGAGCTACATTAGCCACTGTTATATTCAGCCTTATCTCCTCGGGACAATTTCACCAAAGTTGCCGTATCTGCTCATGAAAACACGGTCTGAAACACCCGGATTATTTTGCAAAGGCCCTGGATTGAATAACAGAGTCTGGCATTGGAAATGTCATTGAAGGCCAGGGCGGAGGAGGACTTTGGAGCGGCTCAGGTCTGGTGGTGGGATGGGAGCTGGGGAAGATCTTGCACCGAGGGGGTGTACGCACTGATTGATTCAATTACTGCCTGTTTGCTTTGGGTTCTAATAAATCCAACTAATTCCTCTGCAGGGGCTTGGTCTAGAGGGGACAATCTGGTGAACCCATAGAGCCACAGTGCTGCTGCCTTTCCCTTTGGGGCCATCTCTGGGTCATCCTTTACTGTTTGGGCTATGTTAGGAGGGAGCAATGGGATACTCAAAGCAAGGAAGATGAAAGTGGCTGGGGATCAGCTGGAGCCCCGGCTGCCCGGCCTTTCCAGGCAGGTTTATCATCAGAAAGCAAGTTTCAACTTCCAACCACTTCTTCGTTTTAGCTCTTGTTGCTTCTTGCAGTGACTCGGCTCACAGGCAGTCAGCTGGCTTTTTAGGAATGAAGGGGTTAGTTGATAGTCAGAAGGAAACCCCAGAGTTTCCTCTTGGCATAGCAGAGCACAGGGAGGGAAGGGGATGGCAGGGAAGGAACTGCCTCAGCCTCTGGCAGGGCCAGGGATCTGTGCTTTCTGCCCTTTCCAAGGAGCATAGAGGAAGAAAGCCCTCAGCAAGGCTTCGTCACTCAAAACCCACAGCTGTGCCCAAAAAAAGCGTTTCTGGGGGGAGAAATGAGGCACGTCTGCTTGAGGAAACAAACAAAACCAGCCCAGCTTGCACTGCAGCCAGCTCAGGAGCCGAAGAGCAGTGGGGATGGATGCCCATCATCCCAGCCCACCACTGCTGTCTGTTATTGCAATTCACCATGACTGGGAGAGCATCCTGGCAGTTCCAACCAGCCCATCCACACAGACTGATCTGGATTTGCTCTACCCTGGAGCCCGCTCTGGTCTGGACCTCCTGCAAAGCCCTCTGAAGCCTTTTGGGCTCTGTGCATGGGGAAGGGGCTGCTTTCACCACTGGGACAGGCATCGCGGTGGAGGAACCTGCTGTATTTTGGGAGTTTTGCTGGGAACCAGCACTGTTTCATAGAAAAAGCAGAGTCTTTCTCATGAGACACTCCCAGGGTGAGTCACGGTCCCCGGGTGAAGATGAGGAAGCAACTGGCCTTTAAACAAGGGTCTGCTCTGCTGGTAAGTGTTGCCCATGGAAGCGACGGGAGAAGGAGGCTTGGGAAACTCGTGGGATGTGAACCAGCTGCATCCCACGGGGCACTTTGTGAATAACCACAGGGGAAACCCTACATCAGGAGCAAGAAGGTGGAAAATGTCGATTTTCCTGGTTTGGGATGGGGTGTCCTGGAGCTTCCAGGGCTCAGATCCCTCATGATCCTCCAAGGCAATGCTGATATGTGCTTGCAGCACCTCTCCCTGCCGCCTGCAGGTGGCTGGGCAGTGATGGGCCCTGTGCAGGTGATGGTGAACCAGGGCAGCTCACAGGCAGTATCCTGCAGCTACGAGCCAGGCTACAAGCTCTACTCCAAGTTCTGGTGCCACAGGGGCTTCCTCGGGTTTTGCACCTGCATCATCCAAACCGATGGCTCAGAGGTGACAGTGACACAGGACAGGGTGTCCATCAGGGACAACCACGTATCACACTTGTTCACGGTGGCTCTGGATGGTGCCATGTTGGAGGATGTAGGCTGGTACTCCTGTGGGGTGAGGAGGAAGCTGTGGTTCAGCCTGCAGCACACCACCAGGGTGATGGTCTCCACAGGTAAAGTTGGGCTGGGAGCAAAGCAGGGGTGTGCAAGGGAGCCCATCGCTTGGGAAAGGGGGTCCCAGCTGGGGATCATGGGGATTGTCAAAGTGGGAACGAGCACCTTGCAGGCACTGAGATGTGCTGGAGGCTGCCCCAGTGCAGATTTGGATGAGGGACAGACGGGGATGCACAGAGCCTCATGCAGAGCACAGCCTCTCAGCTGCTCCCTTCAGCATCTCTGCTTCCACAAGCCCTTTGGGGTTTCTTGTCTCTCCAAGTAAGACCCCTCCTTTCTCATCCTCCTCCTCAGTGCCCAGTTCCTTGCCTGGACACCCCCATCTCTACCTCCTGCACGTCTGTGGCTGAAGTCTCAAGGCAGGGGCCTGCGGGGCAGGATGGGTGCAGGAGGGGTCTCCACTTTGCTCTGACTCTCTTTTCTTTCGCAGCTGATTCATCCACAACCAAAGGCAGCGATGTGAGCCCGCTGGCCACCACGGGCTTTGGGGAGCCTTCAGTGCTGAGTCAGGGCTCAGAGTGTGGGCAAGCTCCCAAGAGCATCCCCTGGCCTAAGA